AAGAGAGTTATATTAAAAGAGTTGACATATCGGCCAAAGCCTACAATTGTTCCAGAAAGAAAAGTACAAAGCACGAAAGAAAGAGAAAAACATAAAATCAAGAGTCTTCAGCAGCAGGCTGGGTTTGGACCTCGGATGACTGCTGAGAAGACATCTCAGAAACCTTCTCGGCCGCAAGTTCAGCATCAATTTCTTGAAGGGTCTCATCTATGCTCTTGTCGGCAGGAGGCGCGTCCGATGACGCCTTCTCTGGAGTGGCATCCTTGGGGACTTCCTCATCCTCCTCATCCTGAGTCAAGTCCAGGACTTGCTCATTTTGAGTAAGTGACTTGGCCCCAGCAGCTTCCTTGGGCTTACTCACCAAAACCTCCTCCTCAGACTCAGAGTCGTCGGTGACGGGTTAGCTTGGAGTTGGGGGGAATGGCAGAGGAATGACATCGGTATTCCTGATGAGGGAGGACATCAAGCCTTTTCAACAAGATCATCCAGCCAAGGGTGAAACCCCTGTTGCATGCCTGCTTCATCTGCTTTTCGTAGTTCGCCGTGATGTCAACCACCCCCTCGTTGTAGCCCTTTTCATCGGCTGCCTTGACTTCGGATTCTTTGGTGACCAGAGCGTCTTGCAATTATTTTTGGTCCTGGGCCATTTTCTCCTCGGCATCCTTCTTTTCGGCCTCAAGCACCTTTTTGATGGCCTCAGTAGAGTCCGCAATTTCTTCGGCGTCGTTTTGGGCCTTGATGGCAACCTCGGTCTGGTCCTCCAACTTTTTTATTTTTGATTGCAAACTTTTGTTGGTCTTTTGAAGACTGGAGACCTCCCTCTTCATTTCGGCTAGCTTCTCCTGGTTCTCAAAAGATTATATTGAGAAAGAGTGGGCATGCTGGATGGCCTGAAAGTAAAACAAAACAGAAGTTATTAGAAAAAATTACAAGTATGGAATGAACAAAAAAAAAAGAAAAAGTAGCCAAATAAAGACACTTACTTGAACGGAGCGTTGAAGCATCAAAACGTAGTTCTCATACTCGCTTAACTTGGCATTTCGATTAAGATCGCCGGGGAGAAGCAGAGCGGTACTGAGGGCTACGCCGACGTTAATGTCATCAGCACTATCGTTGGCCATAATTGGCTTGTCCTCCAGAGTGATTTTTGGGGCCCAGGGGGCATCATGTTTTTTGGACCCCGAGGTGGTTGCAGAGGATGACCTCGGCCTCTTTGATTTCGCAGAATCGGATGGTTGGGCCTCGGCACGCCTCTTCTCTGTGGTAGGCTGGGACTTGTCACTTTCAACCAGTTTGGAGATCGGCAACGTGTCCTTAGTGTCAACTTGAGTCACCTTCGCCTTTGGTTGTGCCTTCTTTATTCTTTTCTGTTTAACAAGGGACTGAGACTGTGTCGGTGGAGTGTCAATGGATGATGGGATGCTGGCCAAGAGATCTTTGGCAATTGCTTTTTGGCGGCCCATTTTCGTAGCAAAAACTGTTCGTCGCTGACGTTGGCGCTGGGATATCGGGATCAGGTATGGAGCCGAGGTTAACGGATGCTCGGCAGGATCAGAGGTTGATCCTTGATCTATCCGAGATGTGGACTCGCCTTGTGGTGTTGTGGCAGAAGGTGGAGAAAGGCTTTTCTTTTTCTTTTTTAGGACGTCGGGAAGAGCAGACTTATAAGTGTGGATAAAGTTGAGAAGCGGAGGGGTTTTCTGCTTGAGAACTGGCAGATCCAAAAGTCTCCTCAAGTCTTTGCTGGGAAAGAAAGACTGACGGAAACCCTTTGGTGGCTGAGGAAGAGCTGCAAGCAAAACCGACGATTAGAAGCAGATAAAATATTAAAGACTTTGAAATTTTTGAAAAACAAATAAGTGTGGACGCAGGGCTCTTACCATTGCCCTCTACAAAAATGGTTCGAGGAAGAGGATAAAGATGGAGGTCCTCATCTGGAGCGAACTCCCAGTTCCCCGAGGTAATAAAGTAGTCATCTCCAGCTCCCTTGTTGGAGTCTGGGAGGTCGACTACGATTTTGTACTCTATAAATCTTGGCTTGAGATAGTAAACATAGCCCGTATCCCTTTTGAGGCCACACATGGTGTAACAGTACTGGATGTCGGCTAAGGTAAGGCTATGATACCGTTAATAACATGGTAGGAGTTGATGGCAAGTTGCATTGGGTTCAACTTATAATAGTGGATTACTTTGCGGAAAAGGATGTTGAGTGGAAGCCGAAGTCCGCACTCAATAAAGGCTACGACAGGAAAGGGAATGGAATCAGTAGTGGGCATAATAGAGTTGTCATCCCCAGCCAACCTCAGATGGACGTCGGCAGGGATGTCAAACTCACGCCTAAAGTGATCTAATTTGCTCGGGGTATCTACTCTGTGTTTCCACATACCCATGATATCGGCTTAAACTGAAAAGAGTATCTCGGCTAAAAAGTTGGATTTCAAAAAGGGTATCTCTAAAAGGTTTTTATGGACCTCGGCTAAAGCTGGAAGATACACAGAATATGTGGGAATAGTTTCAGTTTTTCCTAAAAAATCGAGGGTTCTACAAGCAAATCCCAAACCTAGATCTATGAAAGCAAGGATTGAAGACGAGAATCTGGAAAAACATGGCAAACAGAAACAAGAATACGATTCAGATTCAAGAACAAAGATGGACTATCAAGAACGTCGCAAGTACAAAGGGAATGAAGTCAAGAACAGTGGCAAAAGTGCAACAAAGTTGTGAACAATGCGTATACTCAAGACATGGGCAAAAAGCAAGGTTGTGGAATAAACGTATTCAGATACAAGATTCATCAATTAAAAACTTGAGTAAAACAGCAATGGCAACTAATAATGAAGAAGAATTTCTTGAAAAGCAACAGGAAATAAGAACCAGGGGACATGGTGGCTTACCAGAAAGAAGGAAACCAGGATGGGATTTACTGATGTCTGACGACAGTTGCAGAGGCGGAAGATCGGTAGAAGTCACTCCAGAGGTGGTAAACGGAGCAAGTTATAGAGCTCAGAAAGCTTGAGCAATGGTGGATTTGAGGAAGAAAGCTAGAGAGAGAAAGAGCTAGAAGATTGAATACAAAGTGAAACGACAAAATGAGGGAAAAAAAGTTTTTGTTAAAACTTGAAACGGCGACAAATGAAATTAATGCGCCTAAAACAACGTGAGCGTCAGACGGCGCACGCATGCGCGAGACGATTTAGAAGCGCGTTACAAACACGATCCAGAAAGGAGAAGGCACATGGTTATGATAGTTGAGTTGTTACGTATGACAGCTCATGCGCATGAAGAAGTTCTTGGAAATCTTGATCTTTAAGAAGACATGTCGGCCTATGATGATGATCTCGGCTTACGCCGATGTACTGGCAGGAAGTACTGATATAGGTTCCATCACCTCAAGATGCCGAGGTAATAGAACCTAGGGGGCAATTGTGGGGATATATTTTCTGGGTCCTAACACGTGGCCAAGGTAACGCCGACGTGTAAGCCGAGGTGCCACGTGTCCAGGACATAACACCGAAATGATCTCGGCAAAGCCGAGGTTATCTCCGAATATATCGGAATCCGAGATAAAGTGGATAAGGAACAAGAGTCCTAGAATGATGAAGGGCTTTAGCATGGATAAGGATAACACTCTTAGAGAGTTTATCTTTATCTATTAGAGAGTCCAGGATAAACACTGAGTAAGAGTCCATTTCTAGTGGGACAGGGATTGAGTTAACTATAAAAGAGAGGCACCCCCGATGGGTCTAAGGTACGCAATTTATATTCAGTACAGTAAGTTTAGCACTATTGATTATCTTTGGGAGATATACTGACTTGATCGTCGGAGTGCCCCTGGGTGGAAGAACCACCGCCGGAATCTCCTCTTTCTGTTGCAGGTCAGCCAGGTGTCATCTATTCTGTCAGTGCTTTCCAGCTGAATACTGAGTTGGGCAGTGTGAGTAGAAAATCACTCACACACCATAGAAAAACACATACACATGCACAGAGATAAATATGATTACCTCGGTCATGTATATAAACACAAAGTGGATCTTCTTATTGTTGCTGGTGATGAAAGAGAATTACCAAAAACCTAATAAATCTGAAATTTGTTGAAGATTCAAATTTTTCTCTGTGAAGAAAGATTTAATCCTTTTATTCAAATCCACCCTATTATACATGGGATATATATATATATATATATTTAGAAAGGCAACATGGGATACATACTATTAAACCCTAATAAGAGTTGATTTGGTAATTGATTTTTTAGTAATTTTTAAACTTTTATTTTTAAAAGAAAAAACATATTAAAAATTAGACAATAATAGATTCACTTTTTGTAATAAATTTTTGGCTTTTTGACTAAAACTTCATCCTCCCAAATGAGGCCTAACAGTCCGTTTAGATTGTGAGATGAGGTGAGAAAAAAAATAATAAAAGAAATAAAATAATTATAATTAATCACCATTGTGTTTGGTTAAATAAAATAGAAGAGAATGTGATTTCTCACATATCTTGTTTAAATAAAGTAAATAAAAGAAAAGAAAGAAATTATTATATTTCATTTTACCAAAATAACCTTTCAAATTAATAAGGTATGTTTTTTTTTAGAAGTATAATTTTGATGTTTTAAAAAATGTCATTAAACCCCGTTCATTTCTCACATAAGTTTGGTGAAAATCATCTTATCACCATCTCTTATTATTTCTCACTACTTTTTTTTTTTTTTTTTAGAAAGGATTATTTCTCACTACTTAACCTCCAAATAAGTGAAAAGATTTTTTATTCTGACCATTTTTATTTTTTTTCTCACCAAACATTTCCATCCAATCGGAGTGTATCCCTCTCTCCAAACAGGTTTGGTTGTACCGAAAGTTGGGCCCTTTGCATGAAGCCCACCTCCAAAAGCCCACATTGAGTGAGACACCTTATACGTCGTCGTTTATACAGATCCCAACTTGAACCTTTTTGGGCAGATCTCTGCAGCGGCCGTTGAAATTGCTCCGCCGAGCGAGAGACAGTAGAGAGAGATAAAACTCATCTCTCTCCCCCGCACTCACTTTCAGAACAAGGGTTTTGTAGAGAGAGAGAGAGAGAGAGAAAGAGAGAATGGATCAGTCTTTCTTGCTGATGCTGTCAAACCTCCTACACCTCCACAACCACCTAGACCCAACCTCCGCCCTCCTCTCCGACGCCCACTCCCCCACCTCCACCTCCTCCTCCTCCACCTCCTCCTCCCTCCTCACCTCCTCCTCCGACGCCCAATGGCGATCCTCCTACGGCCTCTCCTACCCCGTCTTCACCACCGTCGTCGACAAACTCAAACCCTACATCGCCCAATCCAACCTCTCTCTCCCCTCCGACTACGCCGTCGCCATGGTCCTCTCTCGCCTCACCCACGGCCTCTCCTCCAAAACCCTAGCCTCCCGCTACTCCCTCGAACCCTACCTCATCTCCAAAATCACCAACATGGTCACCCGCCTCCTCGCCACCAAACTCTACCCTGAATTCATCAAGATCCCCGTCAGTCGCCGCCGCCTCCACGAAACCACCCAGGCTTTCGAAGAGCTCACCTCCCTCCCCAACATGTGCGGCGCTATTGACTCCTCCCCCGTCAAGCTCCACCGCCTCCCCTCAGACTACAATCCCTCCACCTATCGCTCCCGCTACGGCTACCCCGCCGTTCAGCTCCAGGTCGTTGCCGATCACAAGAAGATTTTCTGGGATGTTTGTGTTAAGGGTCCTGGAGGGATCGATGACGCTGCTCATTTGAGGGATAGTCTTTTGTACAATAGGCTTACTTCTGGTGATGTTGTTTGGGATAAAGTTATCAATGTCAGGGGTCACCATGTCAGGCCTTTTATTGTTGGGGATTGGTGTTACCCTCTGCTTTCATTCTTGCTCACTCCTTTTACTTGGGATAGGACCGGCTCACCTGCGCAGAATGAATTCGATGCCGCCTTGATGAAGGGGAGGACTGTGGTGGAAGAAGCAATTGGGTTGCTTAAAGGCAGGTGGAAGATTCTTCAGGACTTGAATGTGGGTCTTAACCATGCTCCTCAGACCATTGTTGCTTGCTGTGTTTTGCATAATTTGTGTCAGATTGCGAGGGAACCGGAGCCTGAGCTTTGGAAGGAGCCAGAGGAGAGTGGACCGCCACCGAGGGTGGTTGAGAGTGAGAAGTCGTTGTATTACATTGGAGACAACTTGAGACATGCATTGGCTGATGATTTATATCAAAGGCTTTCCAGATAAGTCAAAATTCTTCTCTGAAGCAGAGGACTCTATGAATTCACACCTATAATTCCCTGTAAGAATGTAGTTTTTTACCTTATAGTTCTAACATGCTTTAGATGGTCACTGGTTTGTCAATCTTTGTATTAAATTAAGCATTAGAGTTGGATTTTTCCAGTGTTTAAATCCCATTTCTAATTGATATCCCTTGTAGTTTATGAGAGGAGCTAGTTGGGATTGAAATTTGGAAACTATGTAGTTTATTAGAATGTAGTTTGTTTATCAATTGGCAGGTGTTGTATTTTCCTTTATGATATCAAGCTTCTTCTTGTCTTATATTTGAGAACAAATTATGTTTGTGTTGGGTTTACATCATGAAATGTATACATAGAAGAGAGTTCTTAAATTTGACAATTGTCAGATGGCTTACATACACAGGAAAGTGATTACCTTTATAGCTTTCGTGGGAACTTTGAAATATTCTTGTAAATTAACTATAGTACGAGTGTTAATCCTGGAATTGAATATTGATCAAAGTAATTCTCCGCGGGTTTGTTCACAAGTGTAGCAAGGTACTTCAAAAAGTAGTAGCTTTAAGAGCACTCTTGCTTTTCTATTTTTGCATTAGTTCTCCTGCTAGGAATTACCCTTGTCTTTGCAAGAATTTTTGTTGGTTTATTTGCCAATTCGACTAAGAAGCATGGACACGAATGCAGAAACAGGATACAGCGATTTCAAAAAGTGGGGATATGGACACGGCGGGAACATGACAACAAAATATGTTTTCATATATATATTTTGCTATCTACATTAATATTATATTCACAAACAATTAATATTAATAAAAATTAATTCTAATTCTATTTTTTTATTTCAAAAATTACTTTTAAATTAACACTTACAGTTTATATCTCTTTTTGTAGATGGTCTATTAAGTATTTAAATCTAAAAAAATAATAATAAACATTCAACATTCATCAAAAATACTAAATAAAATAGGGAAAAAGACAACTTATATCCCTAGTATGTCCTTGAAAATAAAGTAATTAAATAAGGATATATGCCATGTGATGTGTCTCATACGTGTCCCCGAAGTGTCCGCATGTCCAACACGGATACGGCACTTGTTTTGAAGTATCGGTGCTTCATAACAATTCAACAATATTTTTGGAACTCTAGGTAGTGGACATGGTTAACGAACTGCTATCCCTTTCTCATTTTGGGAGCTTTTTGTTGGATTGATTGGTAGAAATGGTGAAACTGTTGTTGCAGTGTACCGGAATGTGATAGTTCAGGTTGTTCATAGTAGTATGTGGTGGATTAAAAACACTAGTGCAAATCATATTTTTCTGTTTTATTAATATTTTGTTGATATGAAATTCATAACTGTCAGCTGTCCTTGTAATTGATTCTGTTCTTTCTCAATTTTGTGTGGCCTTACCTGGATATTGCTTGCAAAGTAATCATATGATTGTAAGTAACTCCTGAACTTCTACTAGAGTTAAACCACACACTAATGCTTGAATGCAGCATTCTGCTTTACAAGGCTTTGATGCTTGCTACGGAGAAAGATGTGTATCTATACACAAAATTGAATAAGTCTATCCCCAAAGCTTATTAAAAATCCAAAGCATGGGCAATTAGATGGCAGTAACTCATCAGCAACCTAGCCTTTCAGTTTGTGAGAGATTGTTGTATATTTGTTTCGATAACTTAGGTTATTGAGTTTGTGAGAGAAATTTGTTTAGTAGCATGAGTTTGTTTTTTGTTGTCACCTTGTGGTGTTTGTGTTTACTTTCCCTCAGAATTGCCCGCCCCCCTTTAGGGATTTGTCTTGAACTATTTTGTATATCCTTCATTTACTGCATTCCTTGAACTATGTTTTTTATCCTGGGTTTCACGTGGCAAATTTTAAGAATGTTTCTTTGTATTTGTATAATGTGTCCTTTGATGAAAGTGTATGGAGTCTTCACTCTTCAGAGGTGTGCTCTTTGCAAGTTCTATTTTGATTGTCTTATTGACAATCCAAATGTGCAAATTTTTCCTTGGCATAAGATGATTTGGTATGCTTGTGTGCCTCTTTAAGGTTAAAGTATTTGCATGGACATTGGCTCATAAGAAACTTGATACAAATGATTTGGTTCCAAAGAGAAGGTTGAGTCAGTACTTGTTTCGGCAATGGTGTATTTGTGAAGCGAAATCTCATATTGCCCAAATATTAAAGTAATATTAAGCATATAAGTATGAGGGCACCCTCACCTTGATAGCTAACTTTTGAGGTGAGTTCTATCTGAGATCATGTAACATGATATCAAAGCCAGAGTACTCAGGGATGGGTAGGGTGTGTCCCTAGCCTATACGTCGCAGGTGTTGCCGAGTGAGCACGCTGGGTGTGAGGGATGATGTGAAGCGAAATCCCACATTGCTTGAACACTAAAGTAATATTAAGCATATAAGTATGAGAGCACTCTCACTTTAATAGTTAACTTTTGGAATGAGTTCTACCCTAAACCCTGTAACAGTTTTATATGTAGGAGATCTAGGAAGAGAGCTACTAGTTCACTAATTGAGTCAGTGGGTTTTTTACCTCATTATTTGTAGGGTGGATCTCGAAAGAGTTGTGGCCTATTCATGAAAGGACCATACATTTTGGATAAATATTCTTTTTTTTTTTTTTAAGGTTCATCATTATGCAATCTAATCTCTCTTTTTTTCAAGTATATCTTGGCATGGATCATTTATTTTTGCTTTTGTCGTTTGGCTCTATCTTGGTGGATGACCCTCTTGTGAGAATATGTTATGCATTGATTTTACAGGATTATGTTTAAATACAAGGCTCTGGCTCTTTGGAATGTGTTGCGGTTCTTTGCGTTTTATGGCTAAAAAGGGATGTTAGGTTTTTTGGGAAAAAAAGAAAAGATATGAAGAGCATTTGGGAGAAAATTTGTTATTTAACTTCTTGTTAGGTTTTGACACCCTTCTTTCAAAAGGATTCCATTAATTTTAATTTTTTGAGATGAGGGTGTTATTTGCTGAATGTGAGAATTCATGCTTTTTTTCTTCTTTTTTTTTTTTCTTGATTTCGATGGACTTAAGTAGTGTTTGATAAAACTAAAAATTGAAAATTAAGTACGAAAAAATGAATGTTAAATTTTGTGAGTTGAAAATTGTTTGATAGAAAATTAAATGTTAAATTAAAAACAAGTTTTTTGATATATATAATATTAATTTAAATTTTTTGTTTTTTAAATTGTATTTTTTAGTTTGATAGTAATAGTGAGTTGGTGGTGGAGGTAACAATAGTGCTTATAATCACCACAATGGTGATGGAGATAGAGAGATAGTGGTTGTAATAACGATGGAGGGATAATATTGTGTAGATAAAAAAGGTGGTGATGATGGTATAATAATGGTGGTTATTGTGGTTATGGCACGGTGACAATTATTATAGAGGTGAAAGGTTGTAATAGTTGTTGTAGTGGTGATCATAATGGTATTGGCAACTGGGATGGTGGTAGTGAAATGATAATGATATTTATAGTAATAATGACAATGATAATGAAGGCGGTGGTCATGGAAGGGTGGTTGTTGATAGTGGTGGAGACGATGGCAGTAGTGATGGTGATGGTGATGGTGATGGTGATGGTGGCGGCAGTTGTAAGGTTATAACTAGGGTTGGGCATAGAATTATCCGCCTCTCGAAAATTGCTTAATCCCGAACTGCTCACACTTATTTGGATCGTTTTACATAATCGTTAGGATCAGATGCGAGTTAAGATTTTTCTGTTTTGCGAGGTTGCAGGGCAGGTTGCGGTTTTTACCTGCACCCGTACTCACTCGCCCATATCTGTATACATTTTTTTTTTTTTTTAATTTGGATAATTAGATTTTCTTGTAAGTTTTGTAAGTGTGTAATCCAAATCTTCTCTTCTCTCACTCAAGTGCAAGTAAACAAATGTTTGTAACTTGTTTTGTATTACAAGTGTGAAACCTAACAAATACTGATAATTTGTAATAAAATAAGTAAAAATGCTTATTCAAATCAATACCATAGATATTGAATGACAAGATTGTCCATGAAAAAATTCAAATAAATTGGTTTGTCCTTCAAGAAGGATGCACGTCTTGTTGAGGGGATTTACAAACTTAAAAAGTTGGAGTTGTCTTTTTTACTAAAAATGGGCCCAACAAAGCGATTTTGGCAGAAAAAAAAAAAACTCTTCTTTTTAACTGTAATGTAGTTATTGTCTTGTAATATATTTTGTTTTCCTTAGTTATACCCCCAAAAATAGTTAATTACTTAAAAATTCTATTTATTAATACTGTGGTAGCTTAAATCCTATTAAAGTTTTTTTGAATCAAGAAGTCTTATTTTGAGATATAATGACGGTTTTGCCCTTTTGTCCTTTAGTTTAATTCGACTATCCAGTAAAATTGATAATATTTTTTTTTTTTTTTTCAGTTTTAAAACTAAGAATATTATCAATTTTATACAACAATGTTCCAGATAGTTATTTTACTTACTAAGAAAAAAAAAAAACGAGCATGAGATTAAATGTTTTTGTAACGCCCCACTTTTTATTACTTGAAGTCATTACCGAAGTCATTACCAAATTCATTAACTTAATTCAAGTTCAGAGATAACATGAGGAAATAAACTCTTTAGTCTCATGAGTAGAAATAAATAACAATTCTCTCATCTAAATGCAAATTAAATACAACATGAGCTTACTGAATAAAATGCCCGAAGGCTTACATCATTAAAGAATCAAAAGAAGGGTGTAACCCTTTTACATATATGGCATTCCGCCAACACAAAAGAGGCCCCGTGGCCAACAAATAAGAAGATCCAACTCTTGTAGCACATCCTACTTAATACCTAAAAAAGATTCAATAACGTGCGATGAACATATAGTCCACTAGGGATCTCCACATGATCCTCAACAATAACAACTTACAGATAGATATGATCATGAATGCTCCATCTCATACTAGAATAATAATGTGGCAGTTTATACAAAATATACATAAGTATGAACTTTTCTCGAAAACAGTCATTTCATTTAACGCTATAAGCGATTCAACTTTCATTTCATTTCATTATCTCTTTTTCCCAAACTTTCATAACAATAACAACTTCTTAGAAAAATTAATTTCTTTAAGGCCATTACTTTTCTCCCATTTTCCATACTTACAACAGATTTTTCCTTTTTCAAAATATACTTTCAAATATCCAATTTTCCTTCACACTTTCCCAAAATCTCACAATGGCATTTTGGTTTGTTTCCAATACATTCATATCTATACATGCATGCCTTCAATAAAAGGGAGATAACAAATCATCAACATGTATATAATCAACAAATGAGG